CCATTATTGTTTAAGAAAAGCTGATAAAAATCTTGTGCAAGGCGTGTGCGAAAATGTTTACAAAAAAGTTGACGCAGTACGTCGTAATGGCGAGAAAGCATTATTTCAGTTTTGAAAGTAAAAAACTAATATATTGCTTAATATTTTGTACTAATTTTTTGTCCATTAAACTTTTTGTTGTACTATTACTGCTTGTGTTTATTTTGTGCCAAATTTTTGTCACCAGGGGTTATTGCAAATATTATGACCAAATATATAAATAAAATATAAACAGAAAAACACTGAGAAAATTAAAACAAAACAAAAGTTACAACAAACTTTACAAACAAAAGAAAAAATTACAATAAGTTTGGCAAAAAAAGTTACAATAAATTTGGCAAAAAAAAAAAAAAAAAAACCTTAGATTAAAAATAAAAACAATAATAAATAAAGAAAAAAAATTATTAATAATACACGGTAGAATAAAACATATATAATAAATGGCTAAAATGAAAATAAAAACAACTAATATATAACTGTATAAAAAATTTATATATCATTATTAAAAAATAATAACTAAAAAATAAATCAATAAATGACTAACAAAAACTAATAAGTAAAACTTTATACGCTAAAAAACTGACGAAAAAAAAAATCATTACTAAAAGACCGCATAACAGCATAACTTAAAAGTAAATCGTAAATAAATAATCCTAAGAAATATTTGAAAGAAAACTAAAGAAATATACGAAAAGTAAAAAAATCTTGGTTTGCCGATCTTTTCCCTTGTTTAAGATGTTTAAATAGTTTTTTTTTTCTTTCGTTTTCATTCTTTTTATTTATTTCATTCATTAACTTTTTATTTAACTTTTCTTTTATATTTCTTTAATCTTCCCGCAGAAAAATCTTGAAAACCGCTCGACTGATTGAAAAATTGACTGACTCTTGAAAACCGCTGAGCCAAATCGATAATGGATTTGATTTTTGCACATGTCTATTAAAGAAAGACTTAAATTTCTTTTTTTTTTTTAATCCTTCGACTTTTATACGAATGTTTTCCTCATAAAAATGTAGGAAATAAACTGACAACTTTTTTAAAAGGCTTTTTAAACTAAATAAGTTTAGAAAATTTTTATGAGTGTAAAATTATTTCCAAAAGTAAACAGGCCTACTCCCTGACAGAAAAGTTGTTAGCAAAAACTATTGGCTGATTGCGTATATCTATCTTTCTATGATAACTTAGCTAAAAATATAATTTTATTTTAATGACAATCTTTATCAGGGAGGGAACTAGTATGACATTTTTTTTTTAGTTACCTTGAGTGCCATTTTTTTTATGACAGATCTTCTTTACATTTAGTGTACTTTTATTTAGAACATTATTAAGATTGTAAATACTTCACTCTAGAAAATAATTTTTTGAGGGGATTTCCCTCTCAAGATGCGTTAATGCGTATATATATATATATATATATATATATATATATATATATATATATATATATATACATATATATATATATATATATATATATATATGTATTTGTACTTGCGTATATCTTCAGGAGAGTGCTTGATGAATTAAAGTAAATTAAAATAAATTTAGCTAAAACAGAGCTGTATTGATATATTTTTTATAAAAAAAACTGCATATTTTTTCTTTGCATAAAACTTATATTTGTAAAAAATATGTAGTTTTATATATAGACATATATATATATATATATATATATATATATATATATATATATATATATATATATATATATATATATATATATATATATATATATATATATATATATATATATATATATATATATATATATATATATATGGTAGAAAATAAAACTACGTGATTTTCACAACTTTAAGTTTCATGCTGTTACAATCATCAGGTGAAATACAAATATAGTTTGTTCATTTAAAAAATTATATACAATTGAAACTATACAGAAAAAACCTATACGGAAAAAACTTTTTTTATTGTTATGACCGCGTGTATCTAATCTTCAGGTTTGTGGTTGCTTAATAGAAATATATATATATATATATATATATATATATATATATATATATATATATATATATATATATATATATATATATATATATATATATTATATATATATATATATATATATATATATATATATATATACATATATATATATATATATACATATATATATATATATATATATATATATATATATATATATATATATATATATATATATATATATATATATATATATATATATATATATATATATATATATATATATATATATATATATAACCCAGGCCCAAAATAGGGTTGCATTAGAATCACCCGATTTTTGAAACATATATTTTACTGCAGTTGTGGGTTTGTTGGGACCTCTATATCACTACTGCAAAAGCAATGTTTAAAATGTTCAGCTTTTTCTATACATAAAATAATGAATGAGCGGAATAAGAAGATACGCATGTTGATTAAAACAATGATGCACATGTTAATTAAAACAATTACAAAATAATTTTTGTGGCTAGTTGGCTTTAATGTTTCCAGTTTGTTTTTCGTCTTGTCAATATTTTTACTTTTAACTATTAGCAGTACAAGCATTAAAATACAAGAAATTTTTTTTTTTGAAAGATTGCACAATTTTTTTAGCAGGAGTTGGTAAGAACAATAAAGATAGTGAAGTAGCTTTAAATGGCAGTGACAAATTTGGAATTTTTTTTCATTACAAGGACTATATAATTATCATAGACAAGTCAAAAATTTGTTAAAAAAAAAGGTTTTCTGCTTATGAATCTGCAGTGAATAAATTTCTGTCATTGCTACTGTTGCTGCCTCTGCCAAGACTTTCTATATTATTTATCCTTCAGACTGGCTTCACTGGTAAAACTTGGCTATTTCATCGTGGAAATTATCTGAAGGGTAATTTCCACGATAAAATAGCCGAGTTTTACCAGTTCATGGCAAATGAAAAGAACTTATCAATAGGATGTTTGCAATTTGTAAAAATAAATTAGAATTAGTTCTCCTGGTAAATGTTGACATTTCACACCTAAATTTTTCAACTCTTTCTTAGTGTCTACTTACTTTTTAGAAATGGGGCCCCCAAATAACTTTTTGCACCCGGATCCCAAGGCTCGTACTTATAAACTAGTCAATGAGGTGACACCTATAAACATGAAAATCACCAATAAACAAATAAACAAAAAAAAAAAAAAAAAAAGGAAAAACTCTATTTACAGTAGACATAAAATAAATAATGTAAATTAAAAAAAAATCAAATATGAAAAGAAAACTGATATGCATAAATAAATTCTCTATAATATATTCACAATAATATTATTAACAAATATATATATATAATATTAATAAAAGTAATATTAATAAAAATATTGCAAAAATAATAATTACAACAATAACAATATTAATGACAATATTAAGAATAAATAATTAAAAATAATGAGTATTAGAGAATAATAATAAAAACAAACAGTTAATATTACTATTGTTATTATTGCTATTATTATTATTGCTATTATTATTATTATTATTATTATTATTATTATTATTATTATTATTATTATTATTATTATTATATCAGTTATACAACTAAATAAAATAAGATGTAAAAAGGAAGGTATTAGAAAGTTGAATGATTTAGTTTGCAAATCTTTTATTAAAACAATTTTGAAATTAATAATTTAATAAAAGAAATAGTAAGAGTCAAGTGGAGTAAAGTAATAGGGTAATTAATAAATAATATTTAAGAGAATAATTTTAATACTTTTTATAAAATTTTTCACTTTAAAAAAAAGTTCGTACATACGTCTTTTGAAATATGTTTTTACGATTGTGTCAGTATTAATATAACTATTAATTTAAACTATTATTAAAGATAAGCACGGCTGAATTATTCAATGTAGAGGTTTTTAAATAAATTGTTACTGCAACTTCTGGCAGTATCAAAAAAAAAACGACCTAAATAAAAAATATATAAACGGACAACTGTTTTGGCAAAAAGAGATGGTCTTTAAATAGTCTTTTTTTTTAAAGTAATTTTCGGTGAATCCGGCATCATTATACTCGGCATCGGCAAGCCATGATAAATAAAATCGGTATCGGTGTCAGCTAGGATTTTAAATTTCGAAGTATATGATATGGAAAAATAAGAATTAAAGGAGAGATTTATCACATTTAACGAGTTCACTGTCCTTGTAAATTCTTTTTTCGAATTTATTGTTCAGTTTTAATATTTTTTTCAAATAATTAATAAATTGGAAATTTAATTTTTTTTTGTTAAAATTATACAAGTAAAAGTTTTGGTACTAACTATTTTATACAAAATCATGCATTGAATGTAAATTGTTGTTTCAACGTTTAATTAATTTAAAAAACCCTCAAGCTCCAAAAATATTATTGATTTTATTTTGTTAAGAATAGGTTAGATAAATTATTTATTGTAGGACCTCGTTTTATATTTAGTTTGAAAACGTTAAATCTCTCTCTCTCTCTCTCTCTCTCTCTCAATATATATATATATATATATATATATATATATATATATATATATATATATATATATATATATATATATATATATATATATATATATATATATATATATATATATATAAAACTACATATTTTTTAAAATATGAGTTTCATGCAAAGAAAAAATATGGAATTTTATTTATAAAAAATATATAAATACAGCTCTGTTTTAACTAAATTTATTTTACTTTAATTTATCAAGCACTCTCCTGAAAATATATACAAGCACAAATACATACATATATATATATATATATATATATATATATATATATATATATATATATATATATATATATATATATATATATATATATATAATATTTTTTATATATATTTGAATGTATTATATATGCATATATATTATTATATATGACATATTTAATAATATTATATATACATATAATATGAATGTATAATAAATACATACATAGATACATGCAAATATATGTAGTTTTCAAAGATATTTTATTTAGTTCATTTTTCAATGTTAATAATAAAGTATGTCATCCAAAATAATAGCCAGTAACAGTATTTGCTTCAAAAATTCTTTTGGAAATGGAAAAGAGCTCATATTCCAATTTGGAATAGAAAGAGATTTAGTGGTATTTGAAGGCAATACTATAGCAGCTCTTAGAGAATTGGCTGGAGCTTATATAGAATATAAGGTAAACAGAAGTGATTTTAAAATATTGTGCTTTGTATAATTAAGTTAAATTTCTAAATAAACTTCATTGTTCTCAAAATCAAATAGTTTTATATATAAAAAAATAGAATGATTATCAATATAAACAAAAAGCCTCTGTTAAAATACATTTTATTATATTTGTAATATAGAAGTTAAGTACATTTAGTAAAAATTAGATTTCAAATATAGAATTAAAATATATAAAAAGTTTTTTTTTTTTTATTAAAATTTTTGCAATAGTATTTTTTGATTGGATATTTTACCACATAAGTAAACTCTGTGTCTATTATAAATTTTTTATTTCTAAAATATCATTAAAAATTAAAATTGTTTTTGATTTTTTGTTTAATGTATAATTTCCCCCTCTTTTTTTTTTAATTTTCTTTTAGTATCCACGTTCAACTAAGCCTGGACTCACAAACTCAATTCTTATATTTAAACATAATTATCTGTTGCCTAATAATCTTGAGTTGATTGATAATGTTGATTCATTGAACATAAATGATACTTTGGAAATAGTACTTAAAGGTTTTTTAAATTTATTATTATTAATATTTTTAATCTTTTATATTTATATTTTTTTTATGCTCCTCATGTTTCTTTTATGTTTATTATATATATATATATATATATATATATATATATATATATATATATATATATATATATATATATCTTAAATGCAGTATTTATTGCAAAAAAAATTTATCATTATAATAAAGAATGCATTTTAAAGATTTTTATAATTATTTTAATATAAAATTGAAAACATATTTATAAATGTATATATCTACATTTTTATTTTTTAATTGTTTTTAATTGCACCTATTGTAATTTTTAAATGCACCTATTGTAATTTTTTTAAACGAAGCCTACTTTTCACAGTTCTTTGTTAATCTTTTTTTGTTTATTTTAAGGAATTATTTTTAATAATATATAAAACTTAATAAAATAATAATGACACTATGCTGACACTACATTGAAGATAAAATTGGACTGAAATAAAGGTTTCCTTCATTCTTTTGATCACAAAGATAAAATCATGCCTAACAAGCAGAATACAATAAATGGTAAATAAATAGTTTTCTAAGCGGTTCTTCTTTATATGTTTAAAGATTTTTTTTTAAATCACAAGGTTTCTATATAAGCTAATAACAAGTTAAAACTAATTTAGTTTATTTAACAAGTATTTTTATTTTTGATGCATGTTTTTTAAATTTTTAAATTAGTTTTACAAGAATTATTCAGAAAATATCCACAGCTGTAAAAATCTTATTGAAAATGAAAGTAGTACTTATTTACCTATCTTTTGTAGAATATTTTTCGATAAACTTTAACTAATTTAAAAAAGACCAGGTGAAAATTAAGTTTGTTAACTGTTTTTTCAAAAACAACTTGGAGTTTAATTAAGAAGCTCTAAGACTGAAAATAATAGTCTTTCTAGTAATTGCATCAAAAAAAAATATATAATTTTTAGATCTGTAAAACAGGTTGATATGAGGAAAGTCAATTCATTGTTAAACTCTTCTCTAACTCTTCTCTTATTTTAAATAAAATTAATGTTAATTAATAAACTAATTAAAATAATTCTAATAATGTTCCTTTTATAATTATGCTTAACCTGCACAAACACAAAAAGTAGATTAAATCAAGGATGATGATGATGGTATAATAATTTAATTAAAAACTGGTAAAGTTGCTTGCATTCAATTTTTTATGTGCATAGTTCCTCCAAAATCATATGATGACCCTGATTTGCGTCCACATATGTTGTATGTTCACTCATATAAGTCTCCAACATTTTGTGACCACTGTGCAGTTATGCTATTTGGACTTGTTAGACAAGGACTAAAATGTGAAGGTACAAAAGTTTAATAAGAATTAATTATATATTACAAATTATTTTGCAGAAAGTATTTTTTTGTTTACTTCTCATATTTTTATTTTTTACAAAGGTTGTAATGGGAATTTTCATAAAAAATGTGCTTTTAAGATACCAAACAATTGTTCCGGAGTGCGCGTTAGTGTTAATGGTAGCTCTATGCCAAGGCAATTATCTGAGCAATGGAGCTCTTCATCCTCTGAATCTGCTAATTCCGCATTTCTTAGTTTGACAGTCAAAGAAAGACGTAACACATGGAGTGTTCCAAGCAAAGCAGAGAGTGAGAGATTAATTACTAAATTAGAAATACCACATACGTTTGTTATACACTCTTATAAAAAACCAACACTATGTCATGTTTGCAGAAAACTGGTAATTAAAAGAATGTTATTTTAAAACTTTGTAATATTTTGTAGCGCTTTAATGTTATTTAATGAAAAATAGTTTAATAATACATTTGTGTGTGCGTGTGTTTGCATGCGCACGCTTTTATATATATTTATACATATATATATATATATATATATATATATATATATATATATATATATATATATATATATATATATATATATATATATATATATATATATATATTTTTTTTTTTTTTTTTTTACAAATAGTTGAAAGGATTATTTAGACAAGGTTACCAATGTAAAGGTATGTGTATTTATAAATACATTCATTTCCTATTAAAAATTTAGACTGTTATTTCAAAATATCTGACGATCGTCTATTGTTTATTGTAATATCATGTTGCTATGAAAAAAAAATTTGCTTTGAAAATAAAATAATGTTGCTTATATTGCTGTTGCTATATATTGTTTGTTATTGCTGTTTAATTTAGACTAAAAATATTTTAAGAAAAGTGTATTAAACTGTTTATGTTTAAACCATTTTTTTGGTATTATTATTCACATGTATTTAAAACATTTTCAAGATTTAAAATTTGACTAAAGAACAATGTTTTTATTAAATATATAACAATGAAAGAAGCGTTAAAGAACAAGGAAAAGGTTGAGAGAGTTATTAAAAAGTTGAAAGTTGTGTGAGTCAGAAAAACATAAAAATTGAAGAGAGTTTCAAAGTATTGAGGTGTGGGCAAAAAAACTAAATGAATAAATGTTGTTATGAGCATGAAGGAAGAGATTCAGTAAAATAATGAAACTTCAGCGAATGGCGTGTTGCGTAAGTAGATGGATTCTGGTAGATAGATCTAAAAAGATAGCTTGTTCTAGCAGTGACCATGATAGTATTTGTAGATCAGAGTAAGTGATACAACCGTACAATGATGGGAGAGTAATGAAGCCTATGGGAGATGTAATGATGGGAGAGTGGCTCAGTAATGAAGCCTAGCATCAAACAGCACTTTTTTACATTAATTTCTTGCAATAATAAAGGGATAGGTCAAGTCAAAAGAAAAAGTACAAGATTAAAGATTTATTGAGATAATTGCATGGTCAGAACCACCTAAAGGAGGACAAGGAGAAACTGAACACAAGCTATGGTCAGAGACAAGTTAAAATGTAATTAATAGTTATTTAAAGTTTTATGATTTCTAAAATATTTTGATATTGATATTATATGTATAGATTGAACATTAAGTATTTGATGCTCACATTAAGGCACTTGGAAATTTAATATTTTATAATTTATACTTGAGCTGATATATATAAAGTTGTTTTTGTATACATTCAAAAAGCACAAGCATTTTTCAAAAAATTAATTTTGATCATATTGTTTTTTGTAATACATCATGTAGTTATGCATATGATACTTTAAAAGTTACCTTTAAATGTCAGAGACACTTTAAATCACACTTTTAAATAAAAATTCAGTGTGATAAAATTTTTTATTACACTTTTAAAGAAAAATTCGGATGATCAAAATTGTCTAGATGAAGCTATACAGGACAAGGAACATGAGGAGCATTTGTGACAGGATACGAACAAGAAAGAAAGTGGAGCAGTTTTGGAAAAAACTAATCTTAGTTCTCCAAGAAGGGTGTAAACATATCAAGAATGAGGTGATGTGCTGCATCGTTCTCACTTTGAAGCTAATTGTGATGCTTTAAATGAAACATACACTACCCAACTTTTAGCAAAGGTCCTGTATGTTGCAAAGAGACTAAGAAATTTATAATATATTTCATGCCACAGTTTATGTTGATGCAGTTTAGTTCTAAAATATTGTTAGAAAAGAATATGATGATTGAGCAAAACAAGCCTTAAAAGCAATAGCAATAGCAGAAAATAACTCATAAAAGGCATGATAAAAAAGTTGAGAAGTGTGACCAAAATTAATGTAATAAATAAAAATACTTTTAATACATAATTTATAGATGACTTAATACATAATTTATGATGACTGTCACAACAGGAAGAAAAGGAACATTTAAAAATGAAAGCAGCTTTTGAGGGTAACGAGGAACACCCAAAAAGGATACAGAGTTGTGCACTTCTGTGACTTTCTCACAAGAAACTCTACAAGATTCAACTGATGAAAAGTATTTATGAAAAAAATATTTAAACAGTTGGTTTTTTTATGCTTAATATTTTTTGTTACTTTGGTCTTGGTTTAAGTTTAAGAAAACTTGAATCATTCCTAGATCGAGCATGGTATCCCAAGCAATGAACTAAGCAGTTGCCTTTGTACCACTAAGCAGCCTAAAGTTGTTACTTAAAGCTGCTTATGTGGCCTTGACAATGCACACCAAAGCACTAACAGAGACACCATGCATGCGCAACATGACACTGGTAGATAAAGAAGGGATGAGAAGCTGGTCAATAGAATTATTCTGCTTACCGATAAAGTCCTAATCTATGAGGTTTTTTACGAAATATTAACTGGATGCAGTTAATATCTGCCAAAATGAATATTTTTATCAAGACACCATCTCTAGCCTTTACTCAACCAAGTCAGAGTTTATTTCTAATAGTCTTTGCCTAAAAAAACAAGTCTTATGAGGTAGCAGGGCATGGGACAGGTAATACTGGGTTGCATGTTACCAGTAGCAAGGTGATTGTCATGATCCTGAACCTAACCTTATCTGGAGTAGTTAAAAGAAATTACTTCTGTAAGCAGTAATTTAAAACATTGAACAGGAGATTTTAAAAGTGCATTAGGAAAAATATTACTTCTAAAAGAATCCCTTTAACAATTTGTTAACTTTTGTCACCATGGATTGTGCAGAGGTTTATTTTTCATCAATGGAATACTGGAAAATAAGGCAAGGATCTATTATATAGTTGTAATCACTAGTTATCACAAACATATATATATATATATATATATATATATATATATATATATATATATATATATATATATATATATATATATATATATATATATATATATATATATATATATATGTATATATATATATATATATATATATATATATATATATATATATATATGTATGTGTATATATATATATATATATATATATATATATATATATATATATATATATATATATATTATGTATATATATATATATATATATATATATATATATATATATATATATATATGTATATATATATATATGTATATATATATATATGTATATATATATATATGTATATATATATATATATATATATATATATATATATATATATATATATATATATATATATATGTATATATATATACACTGACTAAAGTGTATTTTTATAAGCATTTGGTCACTTTTTTTGCTTACCTTAATCCATACGGCTTTTTTAGAAAAAGAAGAAAAAAATGTGATTTTAAAGGTGTGTAAACACTTTAAAAGCACATTTCTCAGATCAATGATACTCGTGGTGCTACAATCCAACACAGAATTGTGAAAGAAACCTCAATATATGAAAAAGTAACAACCACGGTATGAGCACTCATATAACAACTTGTAACTACTCGTACAGAAAATTGATGTAATAAATAATACATAGTACAATTATCTAACCAAGTCACTGCGTATCATAATCATTTTTTGACTACAAACTACTGCATGTATTGTCATGCCACTGACACATACATTTTGTATATTAAAAAATAATGAATAATATACAGTAGAATCCCATTAACTTGGACTCTGAAGGAGTATATATATTTTGTCTGACTTATTGAATGCAGTATATATATTTTGTCCGACTTACCGAATTAAGCAACGCTCTCATTATGTCGGACTTTCTGAAAATGTCTGGCTTATCAAGATTTCAAGACTTATCGACACAGAATGACACAGGAATGTTTTGGTTTCGGGTATTTAAAAACCACATATAACATGCTTTATGAAAGTTTTGAATTTTAATTTTTTTTTTTGATGTTTTTGAATTTTTAATGTAATAGACACTAATAAATAGAATTTAATTAAAGCTCAATCAAATCGAAGATATCAGTTAAAATGGTTAATTATGTTTAATTATATTTGACGCAAAGGTATTTTATTTTCGAGCATTCTAACTGGAAGTTTTGTTATTATAAGCACTTAAATGCTACTGAATTGAATTATATCTACTTATATGCAATTCAAAATAAAAGTCCTAGTTTAATAAAAGCAAAGTTTTTTGCTAAAAGGACCTCAATAAACAGCATGAGCGAATGGTCTGACTTAACCAGTGTAAGACTAAAGCGGATGATTTTATAGTAAGTGGATAAGAAAGTTCAAGAGGAATTAAAAATTCGTTCGACTTTGTAAAAGTCTGACATATCCAAAATCCAAGTTAATGAAATTCTACTGTAATTGCAACTTTTTTTTTACTTTTTTTGTAGATTGTAAGTTTAATTGTCATCGAGACAAAAGATGTACTGACTTAGCTCCAAGAAATTGTTTAGGTGAACGAGGTGAATTATTTATCTTTCATTTTTTGTATACATTACCATTTTTTATTTTGACATATTATTTTATTTAAGGTTTTTTTATTTATCTTTATTTACTTTTTAATTTATCTTTATTCGTTTATTTTTATTTAAGTTCTCTTTATTTTTTATTATTATTTTGTTCCTGTCAAATTAATTGCTGGGGCTCCACAAATTGTTAGGCTCATGTTTTTAAAGATTTTTGTTATTTCAGAAATCTCCTGGAAAACATTTGCAATAAAATGCAGACTATTGAAACTCCTGAAAATGTCAATAAATTTATTGCAACAGTTTTTCTAATTTGTTTTATAAGCTAAAGTTACTCAAAAACATTTTATTGCTTAATAATATTATACATAATGTTTTTAAACAAAATGTTTAATAATTTACTATTTTTTTATGAGTGAAGTATAAATACCAATTATATTATAATTATCATGTAGTTAACTGTAAAGTGTTTGTATTTTTTAATACAAGTTTTTTAGAAAACTATATTATTATGCCCAAAACAAAATCAAGAAAAAACTTACTAAAAATTGAAAAACTTGTAAACAAACTTGTTTCATAAACTTTTTGTTTTTTGGTGTTAAGAGTTTTAAGATATTAAAACTCTTGTTTTAATATCTTGAAACCAAATTGTATCAGATAAAGTTTTTTTTAAAGTTTTTTTTGTATAAGCATTTTATTCCATTTATTATCAGCATAATATAAATATAGCCTTTCTTTAGGTTTGTCTTCGGATGATATTTCTGACTCAGAAAATACAAGTCAAGATGCATCTGACTTTGAAAACACAAGTCAAGATTCATCTGACTTTGAAATTGCAAGTCAAGAAAATGAGGAAGAAGATTTAATAAATTATGCAAAGCAAGAAGTTTCTGAAACCATAAGTAACCAAATTCCACTTCAGCGTCTTGCAATGTCAGTTCGTAACAGAAAAATGAGAGGTTCGAAAATATTGAAATCTGGCTGGATGGTTCATTTTACTGAATCTGACAAATCAGTATGTTTATTTTTTTATAATAATATTATTAAATTTTTGTGTTTACTATGTGAGGCCTGTACCAGTAATGTTTGGCTTTTTTTATTTCATTTAAAAGTAAAATTAAAAAGCCGTACAATACCAGTACAGATAAATTTAAATCTTAGTTTTATATTGTGATGAGATTAATTGTGAAGATATTTTATGGCAATCAAATATATTTTTAAATTTATTATCTTGAATTTAATTATAAACAAATTTTATAATTTTTTTTTTTTTGGTGTATGTGTGGTTGGGTGTTTGCTTAATTGTCAATTGTTTTTTTAATTATGTCAGGTGTTATTTTAATATTCTCTATTTTTTTAAAAAGAAATGTCATAAAATCATATTTAAAGAATAAAGGTTTACATCAAGAATAAGATTGCAAAGAGATATTTGATATTCTAGTCATTGATTGATATTACCTTTATATTTGAGATCTTGTTCAGAGATATTGAATATCAACAGTATCCCAAAAATTTTTCAGATAGAGAAAAATTAAAAAGTGTGGCAAAGGGTTACCACCCCCTTAACTAATTTTCTAGAATAGCTCATGTAATATTTTTGTTCCAAAATTAATAACATTTTATTTGATAATTAAAGTAAAATGTTGTCAATATAGTAGCATGTAAAAACATCAAGACGAGATTCTTGATGTTCTGTTGTAAGCACTACTCGACATGCAAATATTTGCATGTCCATGTAGACATTGCTACTGTGTACATGGTCATGCAATGTCTATATGGACATGCAAATATTTACATGTCAAGTAGCAATGTCTACATGGACATGCAAATATTTGCATGTCCAATAAGTTTGTGAGATGTTCAAAAAGTAAAAGATTTGCTTCTAAGTATCAAATATCAACAGTTAAACATGGTGGTGGCAATTTAATAGTTATGGGATCTTTCTGTTGTGATTCTATTGGAATCATTTACCTTCGGATTGCTATCAAAAATTCCCATAAATCTTCTTATTAACTTAGTTAATATGGGAATTTTTGACAATAGCAAGGAATTTAGTTCCTTGTTATTGTCAAGCAGTATTAAAATCTAGAGGTTATCCATCATAATACTAATTTAATGTGATAACAATTTTAAATAGTATCTGTTTTTTTAACTTTTTCATTTGTTTATAAACTTTAGCAATTATCATTTTTTTTTGAGTTAGTTATTCTATGTAGTCATACTAGAGAAATGATTATTCTATGTGGTCACACTAGAGAAATAATTATTCTATGTGGTCACACTAGAGAAATATTCTATGTAGTTATGCTAGAGAAATAATCTGTAAAAATTTGGTTTGTTATCAGTGGCAAAGAGTTATAACGTTTAAAATTTTTTTAGCTGTTTATAAACTTTTGCATGCTAATGTATAAACAATTAGGCTATTTATTAAATCCAAATCAGTTTGTGTGATGCTGAAATCAGTTACACATCATCATCATCATCATCATCATCATTATCATCATCATCATCATCATCATCATCATCATCATTATTATCATCATCATCATAAACTTGCTGTTATGATGATGACATATCTTTGCAGTCTTACTGTCTACATTTTGACAGTTAAATAAGTTTTAACTTTTTTATTGTGGTTGATAAAAGTTGATTTTTCGGTAAAAACTTATAGATACATAATTATATATGTGGTAGTGATTTAGTGGTAAATCACTTTGGCTTATAGCACGCTATAAGCGAAAAAATACCAAATTTGATCCCCACTACATCCTTAGTATTACAGTGCTTAATTTGTGTTTTAGAGTAACAAGAATTTTTTTTCTAATAGTGTGCAACTGTGTGTAACAACTTGTGGTTTCTAAAAACATTTAATATTTCACTGATAATATATAATTAATTTTTGATTTTAGAAAAAAGTGAATTACTGGAGATTAGATACAAAATCCATTAGTTTTTATGAGTCTGACTCTGCTCAAGAATCTGTTAAGGTATCCTTGTTTTTTTTTTAATATTGTTTTTAAGTTTTCATGTAACTTGATATTAGTCATATTTGGTAACTTTTTTTATTAGGAAATACCTTTATCAGAAATATTTTCTGTTGACTCAAACTTGGAGCCTATGGTAAGTCGTCATGGTCGTGACCCATATTTGTTTACACTCAAAACAAGTACAGAAATATATTACTGTGGTGAAAGAGACAGTTATGATGCAAATGGCTCTATCATTGCTTCGTTACCTAAAAGTGGTAAAGGTACTCGTATTGCTATATCTTGGGCAGAAGAAATTAGAAGTGCATTCCAATCTGTTTCAGTGAGTCGACCAATTAATTTACTTGATGAATCAGTTGAAGAGTCTAAAGATGTAGAAGAATCCATTATTAACAAAAATGTAGTAAGGATTTTTATTGTTTTATTTTAGTTTGGAGTTGTATGGTTAGTTGATTTATTTTTTATATGCATATTAATATATATACATGTTTATTAATATGTATATAAAATATATAAATAATATGTATATATTTTTTGTAAACTTGGTTTGTTTTTTTTTCTTTAGGATATTAGTCTAATATACCAAGTTTTTTCAGATGAAATTCTAGGATCTGGTCAGTTTGGTATAGTTTACGGAGGTATAATTAAGAATAGCAAAATTTGCAATTGTTTTAACAAAATTTACTTTAAAATGATTTAAATAAAGCTTTAATTCAATTTATTTGGGTTTTTTTTAATTTATTATTACTATTATTATTATTTTTTTTTACATAATAATAAAAATCTAATCATGACCAATAATCATTTTATACATGTCCTCATTTTTTGGAAAAAATAAAAAAAGACTGTTTTCAATAGTCAATGAAAAAAAGTTATTTAGAAATCATGATATCATGACATGAATACACAAAATGTTTTTGAAGGGATTTTAAGTTCTTCATTGAATGCGTCATTGGCTACTATATTTGGATATTATTAATTTTAACACCATACATCTATTGTTGACATAACAAATCACATGAATAATATTCTTTATACTAAAATGAGACCAAAATCTATTGAAATAAAAAAATTAATAAAAAAGTTTTAACGTTCTCCAATGAAAAGTCTGTAGTGCTAATACGCAGTATTTATTCCAACTCTAATTATGCGGTTTTGCACAATCCCCGACGATATAAGAACAGTTTACACAACACACAGAAAACATATGAGAACAGCTAACACAATACAAAGAAGAATCATATAACATTTTTATTGCATAAAATCTGAAAAGTTACCATAATTACTGAAGTGTAAGTTATTTTATTATTTAGTTCCTAAAATTTTTGTATTTTTATTCATTAACAATTATTATTTATGTTACTGAAATGTAACTTAATTCATCAATATTTAGTGAGCCATAAATTTTATTATCAAAAAAGTTGATATTAAGGTTATTTTAATTATAAAAAAGAAAAAAATATATTTGAATAATAAAAATAATTTCATTTATACAGTTTCAATCTCTAGATATATTTGATTTGATTTTGATTGGCTAGTAAGGTTACTTGTAATTTTTTAAGATTTATAGTTAATTATTTTAGGTAGTGAGTTTTCTTTCACAGAGATTAAATTACATTGAGTTTTTTTTTATTATTTACAAGTTTTCTAGTCTTGAATATTAAACTTTGCGATATGAAGAATACTCTGAGTTTTTTACTTTTAGGTGTTCATAGAAAAACTGGTAAAGACGTTGCAGTTAAAGTCATAGATAAATCAAGGTTTCCTACTAAAGAAGAAAGAGCTCTAAAGAATGAAGTCACCATTTTGCAGGTAAGATAGAGATTTTTATAAAATAATTTTTATAATAAATATTGTTTGTTACATTAACTTAATACAGCCATAGGCACAGCGAAGTGTACATATATAGACTTATGACATCAGCACTCCCAGACTTTTTTTTAAATTCATATGAGGGGGCAACCATTGGTTGAAAAATTGATTAGTTACCTCCTCTAGCGAGTCTTAGCAGTTTGTTGAGTATATTATTAGTATATGTATATATATATATATATATATATATATATATATATATATATATATATATATATACACACACACACACACACACACACACACACACACACACACACACACACACACACACACACACTTAAAATAAAAATTTAAAAAATCTTTTCTCCACTTTCTACTTTTGTTTGTGTTCCAATCAATACAAAAACAGTATTTGTTTATTTATATTGTTAATCATAATAAAAACAACAATATAAAAACAACATAACCTATGCTCATTGTAAGAGGTTTTGTTTAAAACTGAATCAAAAAATGCCGAAGTTATGAGTTCTTCACTGATATACAACAGATGGCCACAGGTAGCCGAAATTTACAATTAGCTGCTTTTCGAATGGAAGAATTTTTTTTCTGAAAAAGTAAATTAGAGTTTTCAAAACATAATTAGATGAAGTATAAATAGACACTCACAATAAAAATACAGATTAAATCAATTTTAGTTCTTTGTGTCTAATTAACTTAAACTGTCGTATAATCTTAAACATAGATAGAAAAAAGAAACTGATATAAAATATTATTATTTTTTAGAACATAAGTCATCCAGCTGTGGTCAACCTAGAGAAAATGTTTGAAACTAATATAAAATATTATTATTTTTTAGAACATAAGTCATTCAGCTGTGGTCAACCTAGAGAAAATGTTTGAAACTGATATAAAATATTATTATTTTTTAGAACATAAGTCATCCAGCTGTGGTCAACCTAGAGAAAATGTTTGAAACTGATATAAAATATTATTATTTTTTAGAACATAAGTCATCCAGCTGTGGTCAACCTAGAGAAAATGTTTGAAACTGATATAAAATATTATTATTTTTTAGAACATAAGTCATCCAGCTGTGGTCAACCTAGAGAAAATGTTTGAAACTGATATAAAATATTATTATTTTTTAGAACATAAGTCATCCAGCTGTGGTCAACCTAGAGAAAATGTTTGAAACTGATATAAAATATTATTATTTTTTAGAACATAAGTCATCCAGCTGTGGTCAACCTAGAGAAAATGTTTGAAACACCAGAAAGAGTAAGAGCAAATTTATAGAGAAATAACTTTTAATTTTTTTATTTATTTTACTTTATCTTCAAGGAAGTTTTAGACTTTCAAATAAATTTTAAGGGATAAGTAAATTTAATAATTGTAAATTGTGATTCTATAGATATATTTCAATATAGTCAAACCATGATTGTTTTTTTTTGTTGTTGTTGTTGTTGTTTTTTTGTTTTTTTTCAATAATAAATAAATTTAAAGATGTGTATATTCTTTATCAGGGCTTGAATTAAGCATAATTGTTTAAATTTTATAAACGTGGTAGTGATGCAGCAGGCCTTGTTTTAAATAAAATTTAAAACAAGGCCTGCTACATCATCATATTGATTAATGCATAACATTAAGGTTATGCATTAAGCATTTTTAAAAAAATGCTTAATGCATAACCTTAATGCGATATTTGACATCATAAAGTTTTCTTTATTTTTTTAAGACAACTTTTTTAAATTACTGCAATAATATTAATTATCGCAAAACGAGTAAAATGTTATTTAACAGCTTTTTTATTAATACTATAAAGCAATGTTTATTTTTTACTTTTTTTTTTTATGCTAAATAATTAAATTTAATATTGAATTTTCAAAAATGTTTGATATCAACAAATTTCTTTCTTTTCTCGACATTTGCATAAATAAATTAAAATATGTTAAATTTTTGAATTTTTTAAAAAAATGTTAAACTTTTTTTTTTAATAACTTGCGTTATTAAAAAAAAAAGTTTAACTTACGTTTTGTGCAATTTTTTGATACAGCCATTTATTTAAAATTTAATTTTGAGTAAAAAAAAAACCTGTTTAGGAAGGTAAACCGAAAAAAATACTAAACATTGAAAAATATTTAGTAATATTTTTAAATAGATTTGACAGTTAAGTTAAACCCAAGCATTAACTTTAATTTTAATAAACTTAAATATATTTTTTAAATCAAAATCAAATTATATATTTTTAAAAACTAAATTAAATTATATATATTTTTTATCAGAATAAAACTATATATTTTTATTAAATTAGTTTTAAATTAAATCGTATATTTTTTATTAGAATTTAATTATATAATTATGACCTTTGCTTCAAGCTTAAAGTATTAGGGTTATTCAAGCAAAAAAATCAATCATTACAATAAAATAAAAACAAAATTAAAATAAATTTTTTAGTTAATTTAAGTTTTTTTCATTAGTAAATAGCGGTTATATCAAACATAATTGTCATTCAAACTTTTGTAACAAATATTTTTACATAAACGTCAAGTCAATATGATTTTTTTTTTTTTTTTAAATTAATTACTTCTTTTTTTAATTACTTCTTATTTTAATTAATTAATTATTTCCGCCCATAGAATAATTATTAAAAAATTAAAAAATGATAAAAAGTTGCTTAATCGAAATCGCTTACTGTTTATGTAAAATTTCTTAAGGCCTACGTAAATTGCTCTACGCATAACGCTTTAAAACACAAACAAACATTTAAAAAACAAAAACTTCTGTTCAAAGAAATTTTTTTCTAAAAAAATAATTTGAGGATATACTTAAACTTAAGCAAATTCGATTTATTAAACCAAATTTTTTTCTTTCACTTTTTATTGAAAAAAAATTTGAATGAAAAAATTAATTCTACTATTATTTTTAATAGTACGCTAGATCATAAAACAATAAATTATAAAAAGCGCGGTATCTAATGTTTTTTGCCTTTAATCTTACTATTGTTTGGCCTATAGATTATAGACACGTATGGTCTATAGGCATGTTTTTGTGCAAATGAAGTTTTGCACAAAAACGTACCTATAGACTTTATAAAGTTTCAAGTTTTATGATGATAATGTTTTAATTTATTAGTTAGAACAATTCTATTTTTTTTACTTCGTTTTACATTGACACAAGAGATATTATGTTAAAAAATAACAATTACAAACTAATGTAAAAAAGATACAGTTTTATACTAACCCAACCCCCCCCCCCTTTCCTTACTTCAAAAAGGCACCAGGAAGGGGGAGGTTGATTTTTTTGCATTTTTTCGGGCCCTGTTTATTATTTATAACTGATAATTCTTTAAACAATTTATATAGTACTAGCTAAAGTACTACATAAATTGTTCAGGAGCTGTAAGATATGAGTTATGGTAAGTCTGTTCTATACCCGACTATTTTTAAACTTGTTCTTAATTTGGTCTCTATACTTCAATAATTTTTAGTTAATTTTAAAGGCTTTTGGTTAACAATTAATTTACTATAAAACTACTTATTTGCTTCAATATTTTTTAACATAATACTGTATAAAATTTAAATAAATCTTTAATTTTTGGAAACTTATGGCTATAATAAAATTTTAACCCTCGCATTAAGATTTATTTAAAAAGAAAAAAATGTACACAAAAATGGGCCAAAGGGAACTAGTTATGTCAAATAAGTTAGCTTTATCGGTTTGACATTTTTAATGAAATTCTATAAAAAATCATTTAATTTTTTGTTTTTAATGCTGAGTTTGGCATTTAAATTATTATACCTGTTGTTTGTGCAAAAAATTGATACTTAATGCAAATGGAAACTGTCTAGATTGTAATCACCAAAAAGTGATAAAGGTATAAATGATTTTCATTCAAATATAAAAATATAAAGGAAATACAAAAAAACAAAGAAAAAAAGTCTTATATATTCATAAAAAATAATAATCCCAAGAGAAAAAAATATAGTAGTTTACTTGAGAAACAAAAAACATTTTTCTTGAGAAAAAATAAACACATAAACTTAACAAAAAAAAAAATCATAAAAAAATATACTCAACATAATATACTCAAATATAAATATACTCAAAAATATATTCAGCATAAAAAAATATGTTCAACATAAAAAAATATATTCAACATAATAAAATATATTCAACATCAAAAATATTTATAAAACCAATTTAAATTCTAACATTGTTTCATTATTATATAGCTTTAGAAAACAATCCACATTTAGAACATTTCTTAAATTCTGCTATGTAGAAACTTTCAAAATCAGTTATAAGAGAAGGAGTTCGAACTAAAAATGGAACAAAATTATTATTAAAAACACTTGTTCTGACAACATGACCATGGCTTTTTAAATGTTTTGAAAACATTTCCAATTCTAGCATACATATACAATTACTCAAATTTCGATCACATATACCTACATACATACCTATCTACCTACCCTACATACATACATACATACATACATACATACATACATACATACATACATACATACATACATACATACATACATACATACATACATACATACATACATACATACATACATGGTATGAAACTCAACAACTCAAAATGTAAAGTCAGTAAAACTATTGACAGGTATTCCAATTTCATATTCTACTATACTCATATCATAACTAATATCTTATCATAACCAATTTTGTACCATCAACCATAACATTTTGCACCATCATACTCAAAAATACTTAGCTGAACTCAATAATACTTAGCTTACATCCTGCTTAATGAGAATCTTGATAAAGATGAACAACAAATAAAACTGCACAACACTGTCAGTTCCATTTCTACTTAAGCCCCTTAAGCAAGTTGGACATACAGTCTAATCTTCTACAAGTTTACAGGTCTTACGTTATTAGCCACATGATATACAATGCTCCAGTTTTTACTTCATGCAAAAAATAAAATATTCAATTATTCCATAAACATGCCTTGCGCGTCATTGGAATTGATGTAACCAACTTGAGCCATTTCAGTATTTCCTATGACATTAAAGAACTACTAAACAGGATATATATTTATAAACTAGAAATATTCCTTGGTGACACATACCAGTTAAAAGGACAACAAAGATTTTGGTAGATTAGTAGTTAATCTTTTTAATTATTGTTTGATTGTCACTGACTGCTACTTTTGTTGTAATTTCCTTTAAAGGAATTAGTTGTGACTGAAATGTTACATCACTGACATAAAAGTGATTAGGTTCAGGTTTTGAATATACATCTTGACTCTCTAAATGAAATGTTGAGTTTATATACATAAAAGATTTGTTAAGTTTATACATAAATTATTTAATAGAATATCTTTTTGCTTATTTAGCTCATTGATGGTGGGGTAAATAAACAAACTGTTGTTAAAACTGTTTGTGTTCTGTCAAATATTTAAAAGATAAAAGGCTATGTGTTTTGTATTTTTTAGATATTTGTTGTAATGCAAAAAATGAAAGGTGACATGTTGGAAATGATCTTAAGCAGCAAGTTAGGAAGGCTAACAGAGATGCAGACAAAGTTTATATGCCATCAAGTGAGTTGAAGCTTTTTGCTTAAATTTCTTTTCCTTAATCTGGTAATTATTGTTATTTGTTAATCTTAAGATTCTGACAGCTCTACATTTTCTACATCAAATGGACATAGTACACTGTGATCTAAAGCCTGAAAATGTTCTTTTATCTGGTATTGAATCTAAAGAAGGCTTTCCTCAGGTACATTTTCTCATATGTCTATATATATATATATATATATATATATATATATATATATATATATATATATATATATATATATATATATATATATATATATATATATATATATATATATATATATATGTATATATTATATATTATATATTATATATATATAGTTATTTTCTCCTATATGTATTGTAGTGTCCAAAAGTAATTGCATAAATAGATTTTGTTATATTTTCTCAAGAAGTTATTTTTTAATGAAATTTTTATTACGAAAAGCAAAGTAATTATTTAAAATTTTGTTAAAACAATGGAAATGATTGGCTCAAAAGTTATTGGGCAAGCTAAATTCCATTGACTTTTAAACTTTTTTTTCTGAATCCACATTTTTATAAAATCATTCAATAATCAAAAATTCATAATGATATAAAAATTTATAATGACATATGGGACATATTCATGGGACATTATAAATATTTAAGGAAGACTGAGAAAAAGTTTTACAAGCAAATAAGACTGTGACAAATTTTAACGGAAATGCACATTCCATAATTAAAAAGTATTCATCAAGCCATTCATTAAAAGTTTTTTAATAACGGAATTGTTTACATGCATTGGCAAAGTCAGAAATACCAAAATCAACAACCTTTTACCAAGATAATGTTGTAGTAAGATTGTCAAAAGCAGACCTCCACAAGAGAGCCAAAGAAATTCAAAGAGAATTCACACAGTCGCATCAAATTTCATGCTGTTATGCAACTGTAAATTTTTGCTTAAATCAAAACAATTTTTTTTTCTCTAGTTCTGTTAAAAAACTTTTTTTTCATATAAAAGTAAGACTAAAATTTGCTAAAAAAAAACATTTAAATTTAGTATCACAGCAATGGTTGAAAAAAATTATGGAGTAATAATTCAAAGTTCAATACATTTAGCTTTGATTGTATCAAATTTGTTCAATAGGTCCCCAAAGTGATGTTAAGTACCAAGTTTCAAAAGTAAAGCATGGTGGTGGTTCAGTAATAGTTTAGTCATGCTTTAATTGTGAAGGAGTAAGTTCAATTTATCAAGTTCAAGACATGGACATAAACATGTATAAAGGAATAATCAAGAACATAATGCTGCCACATAAGAAATAACAAAGCGTTGTGTGGTTGTGCATTCCAACACAATATTAATCCAATGTTCACATCCAAACTAGTCATGAAATTTTTTTTGGTAAGTCTTTAGACCATTTCAAACATTTTTAGGAGCATATTGAGAGAAAAAAATTAGCAATTCTAAACCAACCAATCAACAGGATTTGTTTGAATTGATTAAACTCACTTGGAAGGAAATACCAGTTGATAATGAAATTAGTTTAGTTGATTTAATGACATGTAGATGCAATATTGTCATTGTGGCAAAAAGTTTTCCAACCAAGTACTAGCATTATTTACAGATTATATATATATATATATATATATATATATATATATAAATATATATATATATATATATATATATATATATATATATATATATATATATATTGATTGATTATGTATTATATAAAATAATACAAAACTCTTGTACGAAAAACAGTGCTTGATATTATGATAATAGAGCAATATATATATATATATATATATATATATATATATATATATATATATATATATATATATATATATATATATATATATTATATATATATATATATATTATTATTTAAATGAAGAAAAACAACATTATAATAGTACTTAAAGTTTCGTGCCTTTCGGCAATCATCAGCTATTAATTACAAATTAAAAATTAACGTTTAAAAAACGAATCAAAATTTTACGGTAGAACAAGTTCTGACATAATTTGAAAAGGCGCAATCATTTAATCTCCAGTATCAAACGAAGATAACAGTAATTTATTTAAATGTTGACATTTAGATAATATTTCGTCTTTTTTATTAAGCAGGTTGTTTCCATTAAAATTATCGGGTTTAGCGTAAGGTCGAAAAGAGTTGCTATTAAGATCGAGTGTTACAAAACTTTAAGTACTATTATAATGTTGTTTTTCTTCATTTAAATAAAATGTGTACCCCACGGAATTAGGGTTAGCATTCAGCAATATCAACCTAACTGCCGATCTCAAAGTGTTTGAAGTCGTCATAAAATTGCTGACCTTGTTTTTATGTTTTATGGCAGGTATGGGCAACTTTTAACATAGGGTGTAAATATGTTCGCAGGCCGCATTTTAAAGTAACACATTTTAAAGTAGTACTTTAATGAAGTCATAATTTTTAACAATATATATCAGACATGAAATAGTAAGACATTGTTAGCGTAATACAATTTATTCAAATAACAAAGTTAAATGAAAAAAATAGATTCAACATAATAATTAAATTAGCGATGATGAAATCAATGAGACACCTGAGCTTGAATTTGGGAAACTAATTCATCAATGTTTGGATTAATTCCACTGATACAAAGACGTAAAGATTTCTATATTAACGTCATTTCTATATTAACGCCAGTCAGCCTTGTACAATGTTTTGATTTATTAACTTTTATCATTGAAAAGAGCTGTTTGCATTTATAAGTCCTGCCAAACGCACAAATCAATCTTCTTGCGAATTTTCTAAGCTGCAGAAAATGGTCTTCTTAGAGGTATTTTTTGTAGAAATTGCACAATTCCACTTCTTTAAATTTAGATTTTAAAAGTAAATTTTCTTTAATCTCAATTAACTCCATTTGCAAGTGTATAGGAGCATTTTGTATATTACTTTTTGTTGGAGTAGCAAATTAAAACAATCTTCCATGTTTTTAAAATCGCTATATCTGTTCAAAAATTGCTCCGATGATAACTTAAGTTCTTATTGCTCCGATGATAACTTGAGTTCTTATTGCTCCGATGATAACTTGAGTTCTTATTGATCCGATGATAACTTGAGTTCTTCAGCATATTGAGCAAAAGCAATATTTTCATACAGAGAGAGCGTAGCAAAATGGTAAACTGTTACCAGATAGTCTGTTCCTCCCACAAGCGGATTTTATTCTGAAATGCTTTCTAATGTCTGTATTAATCATGTACTAACTGACCTAGTTTCAAATTTAAATCATTCAAATAGCCTGTAAGCTTGGCCAAGTCCAATATTCATTTTGGGTCACTCAATTCAGATATTGGTTTATCTTTTATCTTTTTTATTCAAAATTCCAATGAAACCTTTAAGTAAGCCAGCCATAGAGGGTGCACCATCTGTGCATACTCCAACTAATTTTGACCATGGCAGGCCAAAACTTGTGAACAACTTTTGAACTTCATTAAAAATGTCCTCTCCTCTAGTGGTTCCTTTTAGCAGTTGTAAAGCAAATAACTCCTCAGTTAAAGTGAACTCTTTATCAACACCTCGAATAAATATTCGAGGTGTTGATAAAGCCATTTGAGCTGTGTCTGACAAATCATTGCTCTTGTCTAATGCTGTCGAAAATGACTCAAAACCAGCCATCTGGTTAGTCAATTTTGTTTTTATATCATTAACCATTATTTCTATACGTTGGACAACAGTTTGTCTTGACAAAATAATTTTTTTTTTCAGGATACAAAACACTACAAATTTCTGACATACTTTCTTTGATGAATGCTCCTTCGGCAAATGGTTTTAATGACTTTGCCAATTTTAAACTAACTATAAAACTAGCTTTTCACAGCATCAAGTTTCACACCATTATCAAGTTGTGTTTTTTGAATTTGCATGTAGTGCCCATTATGGTATTTAAAGAAAAAAGAAAGAGAAGCAACATTACGACGATGTGATAATGGTTGGAGGTTGACTGCAAAAGCAAGTCCAACTCTGTTTACAATTCATTTTTGCACCTTGTCTAAAAGAGAAAGGGCATCATTGGAAGATCCACACCAGATATGGTAACAGTATTCCATACAAGGACGAATTTGAGATTTATAGAGATAAAGAATAGAATCAGGAGTAAGAATGTTCCATTACTTTCAAGAAAATTTCTATTAATTCATCTCTTAATCCTTAAATAAAATTTGAAAAAAGTAAAAATAAAGTATTTTTGTTTAAAACTTTTAAGTTTTTAGGAAAAATTTTGTTAAATGCGTTTAAATGCTCATACTACCCAGCAAAAATTTGTTCTCATGGCGACACTTGGATAATAATTTGCTTTTTTCATTTATTAATTCTTTGGGATTTTTATACAATAAAATTATTAGTTTTCCGTATAAGCATAATAGGCATTTTTTAGTTATGTTGTTGTAGACGGGGATGTTTTTTATGATGGATCATGTTAAATTGAGTGTTATTTTTAACTTATCCTTTGTATTATATTCCATAGGTATTTTGAAAGTTTATCACACTGTAAGACCATAAAATCAATTTCCAAGACACAAAACCCTGCCGCCTACTAAATCCAACAAAGTGCAAACTTGGCGTTGTAAGCAAAATCTATTTAGATAAAATCAATAAACACAGAAAAATATATTGAAATTTACCCAGAGGAAAAATACCGAAAAATAATTTGGAGTGATCAAATGGTTCGAATACTTTTATTCACTTGACATCACCCAATTTCTACCCCTTCATCACACCTACTATACTGGAAAATTTTGCTTGTTCGCAAAACAACATGTAATAATTAGCAAAAAAGAAATCAACAATTAATCATTGCAAAAAGTCTTTACCGAGACTAAGGACTGATAGTGATGCGTAAAAAATCTGCCACAGATATATAAAATCAAAAAAATTATAATAGAAATTTAAAAAAAAAATGGTTTTCAAATGAAAATTAAGACAAACCTATCAATTGCCAACTTCCTAAATGTAACTTTTAACCTGGAAAAAGCCTTATATCATCCTTTCAAAAAATCAAATAGCAACCTACTTTACATCCACACTGAGTCTAACTGAGTCTTTTTTTTTACCTGATGATTGCATTTAGCATGAAATTTATAGGTGTGAAAAATATTTAGTTTTATTGAATGTATATATATATATATATATATATATATATATATATATATATATATATATATATATATATATATATATATATATATATATACATGTATAGTTTAGTATGCATTTATTATAAAAAACATTTTTATTTAAAAAATGGCATGATGATAATAATAAAATAGCATAAAAATACATAACATAAAAGAGTAAATAACAGTATAAAACATGTTTTAGTATTTTATATGGGCCCTTCAAAGTTTTAGAACAATCTCTATTCTTCATGACTTTTAGGCAACAAGAGGCTCGCACCATGCTTGTCATGATTATTATGACACATGCTTTTATTATGACTTTTCTCAGTTTTCCTTATGAGGTTAAGTTCTGTTTAGAAACTTCTGTTTTCAATTTTACCCAACAGTTTTTGATAGGGTTCAAACAACTGCTTAATTAATTAAACAATTAATTACATTACAAATAGTTCACAGAATTAACATTCTCATCTTGTTGTGGAATCAGTAGAACCTTCAACAGTGATTCGACCCCAAATCTCAATTGCTAGAAATGGCTGAACAGAATATGAAAATATATCAGGAACTTAAGCGTGAATTTGGTTGCCTACTAAGATTGATTCTGTGTGCTGCAAACTTGTGTTAAAACTTTCTAATGAGAATTTTCTTTTTATATATGAAGCTCATCTGCAAAAACAGGGGCATGACACAATGAATATTTATTTTCTCATTACTTTTGCTTTTTTGTTTTCCATTAGAATATCTCCACATGACTGTTATGAATAAATATATATATATATATATATATATATATATATATATATATATATATATATATATATATATATATATATATATATATATATTAATATATATATATATAAATTTTTAATTACTTGCTTTTGAAACTCTTAACTCTTATTGAAAGTTTAACTTTAAAGGTTTCTATAAATTTGTAAAATTTTATACGAAAAGTCTTCTGTGTTTTTAAAAAGTTATTTGTTTTTGATTTTACTATTATACTTTATACATAGTTTGAAATTTTTATTCTATGTATATAGATTTTTATTCTATGTATATAGATTTTTATTCTATGTATATAGATTTTTATTCTATGTATATAGATTTTTATTCTATGTATATAGATTTTTATTCTATGTATGTAGATTTTTATTCTATGTATATAGATTTTTATTCTATGTATATAGATTTTTATTCTATGTATATAGATTTTTATTCTATGTATATAGATTTTTATTCTATGTATATAGATTTTTATTCTATGTATGTAGATTTTTATTCTATGTATATAGATTTTTATTCTATGTATGTAGATTTTTATTCTATGTATATAGATTTTTATTCTATGTATATAGATTTTTATTCTATGTATATAGATTTTTTTTCTATGTATGTAGATTTTTATTCTATGTATGTAGATTTTTATTCTATATATATAGATTTTTATTCTATGTATATAGATTTTTATTCTATGTATGTAGATTTTTATTCTATGTATATAGATTTTTATTCTATGTATGTAGATTTTTATTCTATGTATGTAGATTTTTATTCTATGTATATAGATTTTTATTCTATGTATATAGATTTTTATTCTATGTATATAGATTTTTTTTCTATATATGTAGATTTTTATTCTATGTATGTAGATTTTTATTCTATATATATAGATTTTTATTCTATGTATATAGATTTTTATTCTATGTATGTAGATTTTTATTCTATGTATATAGATTTTTATTCTATGTATGTAGATTTTTATTCTATGTATATAGATTAAGCTATGTGACTTTGGTTTTTCTCGAATTATTGGTCGGGAGTCATTTCGTCGTTCTGTAGTTGGTACTCCAGCATATCTTGCACCAGAAGTTTTAAGTAATAAAAAATATAATAGATCATTAGATATGTGGTCTGTTGGTGTTATTATATATGTTAGGTAAGAAAAATGATTTTTGTTTGTAAAGTATTTTTTATTTAATAACACATAAGTGTTTATAAAAAACTAGTGTTTTTTTATTAACAGTTTTATTAGTTAATATAATTAGTAGATCCCTAAGTCTCTCAGTGCCTATTCACAATTCTCCAAAAGAACATATGTTGAAATTTATAAAAACACTATAGTGTACTAATTACCTCTTCCATTTTAATACGAAAAATTGTTAATTTAAGTAAAATGTAGTGTAAGCAACTATTGTAAAGTATATATTGAAATAAAATTATACCAATAAAACTGCAGAAAGATATGCTACTATATCAACTTCTAAACTTAAATTATAAAACAAATATTCCACTTTTATTGCTTATTATTTAAATAGTAACAAAAAAGGTTTTTTAAATTAAAACTGGTTTATAATTATTTTAAACGATTTTATTTCCTAGAAATGGATTTTCTTTAAAAGTTCCTTTTGTTTTGAAGGATAGCGTATATTATCATCAAAAAGAAATCAGTTGATATTGAAAGTATTAAAGATGTCGCAACAGAAAGGAGTAGAGCAAAATAACAATTTATATTGTATTTTACGTTCTTTTAAAGCTGTCTATAAATATAAAATAATGAAGTTGTCTGTACCACCTAATATAAAAGTTAAATTTTTAACGTTTTCAATATCTTTAAAATAATAGAGTTTGAAAGATTTTTAACGTTTAAATAGCTATAAAAATGTTTTTTTAAAGAATTAGTAAGTATCGTTTACCACTTGAGCAAAATTTCCTTTTGAAGCCAGTCAATCAACCAATAGATTTGCAGTCATTTAATCAACCAATAGATTTGCAGTCAGTCAATCAACCAATAGATTTGCAGCCAGTCAATCAACCAATAGATTTTTTTTTATAGCCAACTTAATAGTCTAATATTTCGTTAACGTTTTTTCATCACTTTTCTTTAATTTATTGTTTAATTCTTTTTTATTCTTTTTTGTTGTTGTTGTTCTCATTTGCAGTGTTAGTGGAACATTTCCGTTTAACGAAGAAGAAGATATCTCAGACCAAATAAAAAATGCTGCTTTCATGTATCCACCAAATCCTTGGGCTGAAATTTCAAAAGACGGTTAGTTTGATTATGAAATATTTAGATTTCAACTTTTTATTAAGTATGAGATCTTACAATGACTTTTTTTTATTATGAAACATTAGCACAAGACTTGATTAACCAGCTTTTACAAGTAAAGATGAAAAGCAGACTGACGTGTCAGCAAGCCTTGCTTCATGTGTGGATGCAGGTGATTTAAAATAATAATAATATTTATAAAGTATATTGTTGAAAAGGTCAAAATGCTACAATTCACTACCACGAGATTAACGATTTTTAATGTATAAAAATTAATGCTTTAACTTAGGATCTTGAAACGTATTTGGAATTACGCTGTCTTGAAAAGCTTGTTGGCAAGCGATATATAACGCACGAGAGTGACGATGTTGCATGGGCTCGCTACGATCCTACTAGATCAAGTATTAAAGAATCTATTCCTGAAGAAATTAATCCAAAGTTTAGTTATTTATAGGATTTGATAACGTAGTGATATTAATATACAAAAAACTAATAGAAATGTATTTCCTGTACCTAACTTATTTTTTATTTATTTATTACATTTTTGTTTATAATGGGTGTTGTTTATAATTTGAGATTTTTTATACATATATTCTGTTTTTAATTGCTAATTTTAAAGGTATTTGTATTTTAGTTTTTGTCATAAATTATCATAAATTATTTATAATAAATTTTAGCGGTTTGAACTTTTTTTTGCTGAAAATGTTTTAAGATCTTCTTTTTTATATATCTTCATGCTTAATTTTGAATATCACATTTTTTAATAGTATTTCATTTTTCTAATTTTAAAAATTGTTTAAATAACTTCGTTCATTAATCGTTAAAATTAATTAATCAAAAAAATTGTTCAAACTTTGTATCATGATAATTTATATATTTTCTTGCAGCATATATGAAATTTCTTCCAGATTATTTTGAATATATATTTTTTATTTTCTGAGTTTAATATTTTATAAAGTACTAATCGGTAATAAAAATAACCTACATATATTATGTGGTCATCTCAATATTAGTGGTCACTTAAGGTGGTAGACCACTATTAAAATAAAATCCTTCAAAAATTATATTTTACAAATTATTTTTTTATAAGTTTATTAAAATTCACATTTTAATCACAAATCTTTTTTTTTTTTTTTTTTTTTATTAATCGGTTTGAGAAATTTGGTCCCGGAAACCCCAAAATAGGGTCACTTCGTTGCGGTAAATATCTCAAAAACTGTTCATGGTATCAACTTGAAATTTTCCAGACATGCTTATAATATATTAAAGAAGATCCTGTACCAAAACAAAAAAAAAACATCGACCAGTTTTTTTTAAATAAGAAAAACACTTCAAAAACAAAAAAAGAGGCATTTTTGACCATATTAGGACTTAAATATCTTTTTATCTAATTATCATAATGCAATAAAAGAGGTAGGGGACATCTGTAATAACAATAGGAACAACTCCTGAAAATTTCATAGAAATTTGTTGAGAGAATAAAGAGATATTTACCGCAGAGTCGTGAATTTTAAAGAACTGAGAAAAACACATTTAAACAAAAAAAACCATAAAATTCTTCAAATAAAAATAAAAAACACAGAAAAAAAGCCTACAAACAAATATTATCTTATTATAAAAGTGTTGTGGAGTAAAACTAAAGCAAAATTAAAATAAAATTTTTTGAAAAAAGTGATAGTATTATAAAACAATACTATTATCCAAGTAATACTTCAATTTGAAAAAAAAAAATTCTTTTTATTTGCAAATTAGTTTCAATTTTTACTCTTACCAACTTAATGTAAATATCTGTTTTTAATAAATAAACAAAAAGTAAATATATATTAAAATTCTCCTGCACCATAACATAAACTCTCTTCTTCCTCATCTTTGTCCAAAAATCCTTTACGAATACTCCGTAACTGCTTTCGCCTGCTTTTTGTTTTTTTGTTACATTTTTTTTTTATATTTTTAACTCTTTTCAAATCAGAAGATCCAAAAAAACTTGAAGATTAGTGTCCTGGTTTTAAATAAATTTTTTCAAAAACTCTAATAATACCAATAATCCAGCCGATCCTTTGTGATCAATCGAGCAAACATGATTGTCTTTAAACGCCATATATTTTGGTGAATCTTGGTGTGCATTCCATTACTCACAAGATTTGCACTTCTTAGAAAGTATGCGATAATCTATACATTTTCTATTTGTTTTGCTTTTTATAGTAATAAATCCATTTAGTGATGAGTATCCTCTCTTTTGCCAAGCTCCGTCCCCTAAAATGTCCTTATCAACTACTGTACAATCATTATAATTTTTTTTCAAACTAATTATTCTTACTTCTTTAGCATTCATGCTAGCTTCGGCAATGTATTTGTAAGAGTTGGCAACTTCTTCACTTAATGAGTTAAAAGAAGATTTGTTCATAGGATCAGGCATATTCACTAAACCGCAGAATTTTTTTTATACTAGAGTATCCTTTACCTATTTCTCGAAAAGCTAATATAATTCTTAAATTAGTGTCAAAAGTTTTCGGACCGGTTGTTACTAGTTTGCTTATAGTTTTACTTGAATAAAATTTTTGTTTCCATTGGCAAGATCCACATGAAATAAATATACAGTGTGATAAATCTTTTTTAAGTTTAGCATCATGGTTAAAAGTAACATTTGCAGAACATTTTGGACAGCAGCCAATGGTAGTTATTATTTTTTCTAAAATGTTAGTGTTCATAAAAATATAGCAGTCATTGTACTAATCACCATCAGCAGAAAAATTATTTTTATTTACAAAATTATTATTTACAATATCTACAGAAGATTTACTACTAGAACTCGATGACATTATGTTCATTTTTTTTGCTGAGCTACATTTGAATTGTAATCCTTGTAAATTAGATAGATTTTCTTCAGATACAATATTTGATGTTTTATGTTGGTTTCTTCTGAAAAATCTATGTTTTTTGCTATACCTTATTTTATTTGTTTTATCTTTATTTCCTATTATTTTAATAATTATTTAACCAAGGTATGATCTAAGAAGGTAAGAACACATAGAGTAAGCCAAAGATTGATGTGGTTGTTGTTAAGTAATTAGACATATAGTGAAGAAATCCGTTAATAACCATGTAACATACAGCACCAAAAACATTTATTATTAAACAAAAAGTAGTTTTAGAGTAGCAGTTGCCACACATGTAGTTTTTTTATGAATTTTTATGGTATTTTGAAAGATAACTTGCTTTTTAGCTACATAGCAACGGAATAAACAATCCGTTGCTATGGAAAAATTTTAAAAATGTCCTAAACCGCATTATTAAAAATTGGTTTTAAATAGGGTTAGCTTTAATTTTATATAAAACTAATTCGAAATTCCTAATCTACAATAATTATATTACTTAAAAACTTTAAAACTAAAAAAACGATTTTTTTGATTTTTAATAGTGGTCTACCACCTTAAATGATAATTTCAAATATGTAAATAAAATACGCAAATAAAAATCTTTTTAGAATATAAGTTGATTTAAACACAGGAAAAAAACGTGTTCAAGTAACAATTTTGCAGCGTGGCCGAGTGGATAGTGCGCTGAGTTTCTGATCAAGTAAGCCGTGGTTTGAGTCCTACCACTGGCATCTTTTTTTTTTTTAATTTTTTTCAATTATTTTAAAATACAAAATACTTTTGAAGTTTAATAGTCCTACCACTGGCATCTTTTTTTTTTTTAATTTTTTCAATTATTTTAAAATACAAAATACTTTTGAAGTTTAATAGAGATTATATACAAACATATGTAACGAAATTGCTTTATAAGCAGGAGATACGGGCCTTGGACATATTTTCGCTTCACGGTAAGGAAGGAGGCGTGAACTTCCTGGTTAAATTCACTTCCGCGGTGCTCTGTGACAAGACCGTTAGATCTTCTTGGGTCACCTAAATAACAATTAAATATATATATTTATATATATATATATATATATATATATATATATATATATATATATATATATATATATATATATATATATATATATATATATATATATATATATATATATATATATATATATATATATATATATATATATATATATATATATATATATATATATATATATATTAGACACTTTTACGAACGAAAAGATTTAAATAAAACTAAAATTTCTAAAAACATCAAAACACCGGGAAAAAAAAATTTGTTGCGCATGCGTCATGATTGAGATGTTATTATTGTGCTCAGGTAATTAAACCTAACAAGCTGCGGACGGTCTGAAAAAAAATTTGCATGAAACTTAATAAAGAAAAAACTAAGACAGTCCTGCCACTCCAGAAAGTGCTGCTGTGGAAAAAAAAACAAAAACCCGTAGCTAGAAAGAAATTTAAAACTTTCTTTTTTGATAATAAAAAGTTTTTTTGCTAGATTTATTTTTTTACTATAAATATATGCTGCAGCCGTTTTTCTAAACGCCTCAATATGCTTATTACGTTTTTCGAAAAAAACGCAATAAAACAAAATTAAAAATTAACTCTTTGTAAAACGTTCTTTGAAAGTAATAATTTTTATAAATTATTTCGAAAATATGTATTCAATAACGTTTGAAGACATCTAAACTAGCTTATTTGGTAAAAAGTCAAAATTGATATTTTTTACCTTGAGGCTTTTTGAAAAACGGCTGCAGTATGGATGTTACAACGAATATGTTGAAATAAGATAATTTGACGCAAAATTTAAAAGCTTATAACAAAAGCCACTAAACCAAAAAGATTAAAAGTAATGCAGTGCAGTTCAGTGCACTTTAAATGTTTAGGTATAGTGTTTGGTGTTTGCAAAGAAACATTATATAAATCATTGTTAATTTTAATATTGACTAATTTTTTTTTAAACTTTGTTGCGCTTAACCATCTCTATATATACAATTTATATATAAAAAAATTTGTTATTTGTTTATATGTATTATTTATAAAATGTAAAAAATCCACTTATATAACGCTTTATTCAGGATCGTATGTAATGTAAGTAAACTTTTCTAATAACTACAAGTCTTTTTTGCTCAAATTATTTTGTTTTGATTATTTGTAGATATTATATTTAAGAAGATTGATAAGATTGAAGAAACACAAAACTTATTGTCACATCCAAGTGGAAAACTTGAAACTTCAACTTTAGATTAGAAATAACAACATTGAACTCAAAAAAATAAGCAGCAAGCTAAGAGAAATAGAAGATCAAGAAGGAACAATCTAAGAGTTGAAGGAGTTGAAGAAGATGATAATGAAAGTTAAAAAAAAATTAAAGTTAAAAAAAATATTTGATGAGTACTTGGGCATAAAAGAATTGAAAGAGCGCATAGAGCCGGTAAAGAAGATATAAAAAAGCACAGAACAATTGTTGTGAAATTATTGGATTTTAAAGATAAAGAAGCAATTTTAAGAGACTCTTCAAAATTAAAAGGAAAGAATATTTAAAAGGAAAGAATATTTTATCAATGAAGATTTTTGCGCGGAGACAAATCGAATAAGAAAAGACTTGCGAGAGAAAATGAAAACTGAAAGACAATCGGGAAAATTTGCATATATTTCCTACGACAAGCTTATTGTACGCGAGTGGAATG